CACCTCACAGAGGGCCTTCCCCTCCTGCACTGTCCCTACACCCTTCCAAGCATGATATCCCTCTCCAAGGACAGGTTTCTCCTTACAACATGTCCAAAGTATGTCAGACGAAGCCTCAGAATCCTTGCCTCCAAAGAACCACCTGGTTTAACCCTCTCCAGGATGAATCCGTTTGTATTCTCAGGAGTCCATGGTACCCTCAATACTCTTGTCCAGCACCACAGCTCAAAGGCATCAATTCTCCTTCTATTCTCCTTGTCATTGTCCAACCCTCTGATGCATAACAAGTGATTGCAAAGACCATGGCCTGTATCAGACGCACCTTAGTCTCCAGAGAGACACCACTGCTCTTCAGTACTTTGGAGAAGTCCCTAACAGCAGACTTTCCCATGGAAATACGTCTTTTAATTTCCTGGCTACTGGTGCCAAGAGTGTTGACTGTGGAGCCAAGCAAACTAAAGCTGTGTACAATCTCATGTAGAAGGGAGAAAATAAAAGAGGAAAGAGGAAGAAGAAGCATAAGAGAAAATAGTGAAAAACAGATTGGGGGGCAGGAAGAGAAAGGAAAGCTTGCATTGGAGACTGGTTTGTTTGTTTGGTTTTAAGGTTGTTGAATTTCTCATGATAGGGGGGAACACAATGTGTCCTCCATTCTATTCAGTTTCCCCAAATTCAACTTGAGTGTTGGTCTTAGCTGTCTGTCACATTGTCATCCGAGAGAACTCTCTGTGAGATAGAACTGTTTAATGTTTGTACTGTCTCATAAAGTAGCCTGTAGTCAATGTGTCTATTGAACACTTAAAGTATGCACATATGCATGGTGTGTCTGAGGAACAGAAAGTCTAATTTTATTATTTTTAATAAATTTAAACATAAATGGCTACATGTAGCTTGTGGCTAACTCCATGGAACAATGTAGCTCCATTAAGGCTTCACAAACTTCTTCTTAATGTCCCAGAAGGTAAATATTGTTATTTTTATGAGTTTGATAATTGCATGCAACTAATCAAGTAAATCCTTGGGATTGTTTACAAAATTGTTACTAGGCCCAATGGAAGAAAATAAGGAAGAAGACATCACCCAGAGTTCTTTAGCCTATCCTGTTACTGCTTCGAGTCTGCTGAAACTACTGGCACCTTTACCAAAATTAAATGGCTTCTCTCATCTTTTAATCATTTATGCAATATCTAAGCTTATAAAATATACATATCTCAAACCTTATAGAACATGTATATATTTA